TAACTGTGCCGTCCTCTCTCCTAGTTTCTGGTGACTCTTGACAATCCAGGGTGGTTCTTGACTTGTAGCTGTATCTTCACATGGTGTCTGACCCTTGAGTGTCTCTGCATTTGCTCTCATCTTTCATATAACCAAGAGCTCCGGTGTGGCTTAGTGGTTACGCAAAAGTTGGATTGCTATCCACAAGGTCATCAGTTTGAAACCACCAGCAGCAGAAAGACAAGGCTTTCTATTTAAACCTTTCTGTTTAAACCCTATATATTCCCTGAAACCCACAGGAGCAGTTCTACTCTGCCCTCTAGGGTCAGTATGAGTTGTAATTGACTCCATGGCAGTGAGGGGTTTTGTTTGTTTGTTTGTTCGTTTTAAAATATAACCACTCAGGTGGAATTAGGTTCCACCCTATTGTGGCATGACTTTATGTAACCTACCTGATAACATTGCATGGACCCTATTTCCAAAGAAGGTCACATTCTCAGATACATAGGTCCCTGGTGGTGTGGTGTTTACGAATTGGGCTGCAATACACATGGTTGTTTGAAACTAGCAATAGGTGACAAAGAGGGGCTTTCTACTTCCGGAAGCAGTTACAGTCTCCAGGGGCATTGGGTTAATGGTGACGGAAAGATTTGGAAAAGGATATCAATAATGGTTGTACCACATGAAGAGTGTATAATCAATGTCAATTTGATGAATTGTCAATCAATGTCAATTTGATGAATTGGAGAATGTTGTGTATATTTTTGCCATAATTAGAAAAAAATAATTACTTGAATAACAATGAGTATATGAAAGAAGAACACGTTCTAGTATTGACTGTGGTGATCATTGTACAACTCTTCTTGATATGACTGAATTATTGAATTGTATGGCATGTGGTGGAAGTGCTAATAAAACTGTTTTTTTTTAAAGTTACAGTCTGGGAACCCACAGGGGTGCCTGTGGATCAGCGTTGACTCAATGGCAGTGAGAAATATACTACCAAAAGCTATCAACCTTCTAGAATAAAGGTGGTCGTCATTGCCTTAAGTCAACTTCAACTCATGGTGATCCATGTTTCTGAGGAGAATTTCTCCAGAAGGTTTTCTTGGCTGTAATCTTAAGATTAGGTTATGGACTGGGCTTCGATCCACATGGTCGGCAGTTCAAAACCACCAGCAGCTCCAAGGGAGAAAGACTGGGCTTTCTATTCCCAGAAGCGGTTAACAGTCTCGGAAACCCACTGAGGATGAGTCAGCTTTGACTTCTGGCAGTGAGTTTAATTTTTTTTGAATCTTCATGGAAGCAAATTGTCAGGCCTTTCCTTTTGAGGTGTGGCTGGGGGGCGTCAACCGGACAACCTTTAGGTTAACAGTTGAGCACAGACAGTTGGCGCTACCTCGGGGCTTTTGGAGAAAACACAGGGAAAAATTCTTGTACCTTTGGCTTCAGTAAAGATTTCTGAGCTACACACCCCAAAGTCACAATCCACAAAAATTTTTAACAAATGGCACTTCAGAATGGAGAAATTCTGAAGGGGCGGGGGTGGGGGGTGGAGAATTGAGAAATTCTGTTCTTCATAAAGGATCCTTGGTGGTACTCTGGGTTGTGTTGGGCTGCTAACTGCAAGGTCACTAGTTCAAACCCACCAACCACTCCTTGGAAGAAAGATGACGCTATCTGCTCCTATAAAAATGTACAGTCTTTGAAACCCTGCAGGGCCACCTGGGTTGGAATCAGCGCTGGCAGTGGGAATGGGTTTGGGTTTGGTTTTAGCTCTTCAAAAAACCGTGTTACCAGAATCAAACTCCATGCTATGAAGTCATTTCTGACTCCTGGAAAGCCTATAGGCCAGAGGAGAAGGTCCCTGGTGGGTTTCCAACACTGGAGCTCTTTAGGGGACCCAGGTGGATTCAAACTGCTGACCCTGTGGTTAGCAGCCCAACATGCACTCCACCATGCCACCAGGACCGCTTGAAAGACAGTGTTAAGAGAGCATGACTAGCAGGAAAGCTTTGCAAACCTCATCCCTGACAAATATCTAAAATATATAAAGGCCTTTCAAAACTCAATGATAAGAAAAACAAACAACTCTGTTTAAGAATGAGGTAGAAACCGGACAATTTATCAAAGAAGATTGTGAGTAGCAAATAAGCCCCTGGAGAGATGGTGGACATAATCGACCGTTAGGATAATGCACATTAAAACCACACATGGGTGTATAATGTACCTCCTAAACCAATCACCAGACCCACTCCCACAGTCCATTCCAACTCCTAATGCCCCCCTGCAGGCTTTCCGGACTGTGCATTGTCACCCGGGGAGCTGGCCTCCTCATTCTCCCGAGCAGCAGCTGGTGGGTTTGAACTGCTGGCCTTGCCGTGAGCACCTCAGTGCCTGACCCACAGTCGCCCCAGGGCTCCTGCTATACCTACTGGAATGACTGGTATTCAAAAGACTGACAATACAGTTCTTTGGGGGAGACTATTAAGTACTTGAAACGCTTATATTCTGCTAGAAAGCATATAAAATAATATGGTCAGTGGGAGTAGGGGGAAGGTGTGGGGAGAAGGGGGAACCAATCGCAATGACCAATGTAGAACCACCGTCACCCGACCCAAGGGGGATGAACAACAGAAACGTGGGTGAAGGGAGACGGTGGATGGTTAAGATATGAAAATAATAATTATTTATAATTTATCCAAGGCTCACAAGGATGGGAGGAAGGGGAAATAAGAACTGATATTCAGGGCTCAAAAAGAAAGAAAATGTTTTGAAAATGATGATGGCAACATATGTGCAAATGTGCTTAGTACAATTGATGGATGGATTGTTATAAGAGCCCCAATAAAATGATTTATTAAAAAAACAAACAATGCAGTCACTTTGAAAAGCAGTTTGTTTCTTTAAAAAGTTAGACCCACTCTAGGATTCAGTCATTTCCCTTGGTCTTTACCACCGAGAAATGAAACGTTTGAATTGTAATAGTGGGTGGGTGGGTAAGCAAGTCTCGATATATCCACCCAATGAAATCCCACTCAGCCAGTGGGTCTCCACCTTCCTAATGCTGCGACCCTTTCATACAGTTCCTCCTGTTGTGGTGACCCCCAACCATAAAATTATTTTCGTTACTACTTCACCACTGTCATTTTGCTACTGTTATGAATCGGGCAACCCCTGTGAAAGGGTCATTTGACCCCCAAAGGGGTAGCGACCCACAGGTTGAGAACCGCTGTACTCAGCAATAAGTAGGAACCTGCCCTGTTTATAAGGCTCCCTCGTGGCACAGTAGTTGCTCACTGGCCTGCCATCTGAAAGGTCGGCGGTTGAAAACCACTCTGAGGGAGGAAGATGGGGCTCTCTCCTCCTGTAAACTGAGAGTCCTCGGGGCAGTCCCACCTGTCCTACTTGGTCACTACGAGGTGGCATAGACGCAGGCAGCGAGTTCGGGTACTACTGCACTCAGCAACGTGGCCGAATCGCAACATAATTAAGTGTAAGGAGTCAGATGAAAACAAGAATGGGCACTCTTTGGTTCCATTTATATAAAATTCTAGAAAATGCAAAGTAGTCCAATGGCCAAACTTCCCCCCACCCCCACCCCCCATCAAAACCCTGCCTATCCCTCCTTGCCTGGGAGGAGGGGGTGCCAGGGAGGAAGCAAAGAGAGGTTCAAGGGCAGGGTCTCTGCCTCCATTGTGTTGACGGTTGCTAGGCAGACACAGTTGTCAAAACACCTCACACCTGAAATCCAGAGTTGCTCAAAGCAAACAAACGCAACCTGTGTTTACATTTTTCCGAAGTGAGTCAACTTCAAGAAAAATAGCGGATCAAGAGATGTCCAGGTTGGAGGTCACAAAACCGAGACAAACTTGTGCCCAGGGAACCGGGGTGACAGAAGCCTGGGGCTCGGGGAGCCCACAGAGAGAAAGCTGCACCGCGCCTTTCCTGATTCTGGACCTGGGGCCGCGCGGGCTGTCCTGGCCTGCGTGGCTGGGGCCTGGGGAGGGCTGGAGTTAGAAGACATGACTTCACAGCCAGAGTGTCTGGGATAAAAATCTCCTCCCGGCCACCGTCTCAGTGGGCGGCCTTGGGCAAGTCCTGTCACCTCTGTGCCTCGTTTCTGAGATGAGGACAGTAGCAGGGGGTAGCTCAGGGAGCTCTGTGGACTCCACAGGAGAATGCATGCCAAGCACCTGACCTCGTACGTTGCACGCACTGAGCGCTCAGTGAGCCTTTGGCGTCGCGACTGCTACCCAGTAACCATATATCCCCCTTAACCATATATCCACCTGATGTCCCTGCCGGCGCTCACACACTTCAGACTGCCCCCTGGGGAAGGGAACAAACACATGAAATCACCATTATCTGAATAATTGCGTTTTAAAAATGGTCAATTTTAGTTCAGAGCCACACGGGGCTTACAAGCCACAGCTAGTCTGCTGTGCCTGGTCTAGACCACCGTCGTGGCCTCTGGCCTGTGGGGCCTCAGAGCCCAGGGCTCAGAGTGCTGCAGCCTGGGCCCCACAGTCTGCCTCAGCCTGGCAGCTCAGAGCGCCATGGCCGCTTGCTGGACCCTTCCCCTGTGCTTGGCACCGGGCTGGGCTCATACACACATCCTTGGATTGCGCCTTCTCAATGGCCTTGAGGAAACGGGCTCCCTGGTCCCTTTTAACTCAAGGGGAACCTGACTCAGAGACACCCAGGGCCACGCAGCTCGATAGGCCTTCTAGCTGCTGCTCTCTCTACTGTATGGTCTCTCTCCCTCCCCGCCAGCCCTGAGCACCTGTCCCCAGGGCCTTGGGTGCTGGTGTGGGGGTGGGGGTGGGGGTGGTGTGCTCAGGGTGACGGCTCTCTGCCCCTCCTCCGCAGGGTGCTAGCCCTTGTTGCTTTGCTGGGCCTGATCCTGTGGTTGATTCTGGATACTGCCCGGCGGCCGGAGCAGCTGGTGTCCTTTGCCGGGGTCTGCGTGTTCCTGCTCCTCCTCTTTGCCTGCTCAAAGCATCACCGCGCAGTGAGTGTTGGCTTGGGAGGCCCAGGCTGGAAGGCAGTGCAGGGCCTCTCCACTCGGACCCCTCCTCCGGGCTCGGGTCTGAAGCTAGGGTGGTAGCAGGGGCTCCTTTGGGATCCGGGGAGAGCCTGTGGGTATTGGGGCAGGTCTCTGCTGGGAGCACTAAGGGCTAGTGTTGGGTCCCGCTCAATGTAGGAGACTAGGCCTGTAGCGCCCAGGCAGGCCCCATCACCCCTTGAAAGCAGAAGCCCTTAAACTGCCAGCAAGGCCTGTGGCTTGGCTGGCTGTCTCTGCTGAGGCCACCCTCAAGGTTCCACATTTGTCGCCTTGGAAATGTGTCCTCAGGCCCTCGGGCTCAGGAGCCCCTCCTCTGACTGTGAGGAGTCAAGGGTTTCCTAATGGTGGCAACGGCTGCTGCTGGGTGCCCCCAAGTTGATGGTGACATCTGTCAACCTTACAGGACACAGCAGAACTGATCCCCCCACCCCCACCCTCGGGGTTTTCTAGGCAGTGATCTTCATGGAAGCAGATTGCTCAGTCTTTTCTCCCATGGAGGGGCTGGGGCTTCAAGCCACGCTCCTGTTCCTTAGTGGCCGGGCGCTCCACCGCTGCCCACGCCATCTGCAGTCACAGAGGAGCAGAGATGAAGAATCTTGGGGCAGCCCAGCCCTCCATCCGGACTCAGGGGCTGTTCCCACAAGCCCTCCAAGATATTTGGATGTGGCCACAATCTCCACCCCTCTTTAGAGAGGCTTCAGACCTTCTCTCCTTCCTCCTTCCTGCTCTGTCCTCCTCTCCCGCCTCCTCTCCCTCCCCTCCTCAGACTCTCTCTCCTCTGCTGAGTAATCACTGGCTTGATATCATTGGCATATGACCCCCAGGCGAATACCTTCCCTGAGGCCAAGCCTTCTAGGAAGTTCCATGCACACCTTGGCTGGCTCTGAGCCTTCACTGTGAGGTGTCATTAAGTGCTGAGTGGGAACAGCAATCCTGTGTCCAGCCCTCTCCTGCTGGGATGGGTCCTGGAAAGGAGGTGGGGGTGTTTGAGGCTCTGGAGGAGTGTGGAGGAAGATCTAGGCAGTTGGTTGGAGCCCCAGTCCTGAAGCAAGAACCCCAGGCCTCCACCCAGACCTCCGGCTCCTTCCATCCAGGGTGACCAGAGGGACCAAGGGCCTTGGCATGCCGAAGCCTGGCCCAGGTTCACATCAGCCCTTGCATGGGCCTTGCCCACGCTCCAGGCCCATTGCTGCTAAAATTGCGGCCTGTTCTGGACCCCAGGGAGGGTCAGGCAGCATCTCCAGAACTCTTCTCATGCTGGGTTCAGCGCCACTCTATAGACAGGGCCAGAGCCCCCGCGACCCTCACCCCACCCTGTTCCCTGTGATTCAGTCCTGAGGGGCTGAGCTTTCTGTCCGTGGCAGGTATCCTGGAGAGCAGTGTCCTGGGGCCTCGGGCTGCAGTTTGCACTTGGACTCTTTGTCATCAGAACAGAACCAGGATTTGTCGCATTCCAATGGCTGGGTGACCAGATCCAGGTGTGTACCTGGGGCCCCTGCTGGCCGGGGAATGGAAGGGAAGCCACTCAGTGGTGGGGGAGGTCATGGAGAGGGGTGGGGGTAAGGAGGAGGGGTGTCCTGGGGCCCAGACTAGGCAGGAACAGGTGCTGTCGTCCATGGTGAACCAGGATCTTAGAACAGGGGGGCCCCAGAATCCCCGGGCACACTGCAGGCTGTGGCCCGATGAGGGCCTTAGTGATGGGGGACTTAGCATAGTCACACAGGTTGATCCTACTCTAACCTCCCTCTTGAAAAGAGAGCCCCAAGCCCATTACCATCGAGTCGAAGGACCTGTGGCCCTGCCCCACAGGACTGCCAAGGCTCCGCTACGAAAGCAGACTGTCATGTCTTTCCAGCGGCCGGGTCTAATCGCCCACCTTTTGGTTATCCTCCGAGTGTCTAACCACTGGGCCTCCAGGGCGCCTTTAGCTCCGTCTTAGCATCTTGTATTTCTATGTCTTCTCAGGGACGGGCTGTGCCAGGGGCAACAGGAGGAGCTGCATGTCCAGGGACTTGTCCTGCTTTATAGATGGAAACCCTGAGGCCAGGATGAGGGAACTGATGGGGAGGGGGAGGGGACTAAGCCGGCAATCCAGCCACCACTTTGGACTATCTGCCTGGGTCTCATAGTCTGGCCTCCTCAGCGGTCTCATCCTTGCTATCCTGACAATGCTCTGCTCAGTATATTTCCTTAGGATTTAGGGGGAATGTGCTCAGAGGGAGTGAGTACCCATGGTGGGACCTCAAGACACATTGCTAGGCCCTGGGCATCCTTGGGGCCAGGCGGGCGTGCAGCCTTGGCATCAGGAGAGTGGGCAGACAATTCCTTCAGCTCCTCCCTGTTCCCTTCCTCGCTGCATCCGCGTGTTGTTTTGTTGTCTCCTTCCAGATCTTCCTGAGCTACACTGTGGCTGGCTCCAGCTTTGTGTTCGGGGAGGCCCTGGTCAAGGACGTCTTTGCCTTTCAGGTCAGCTTGACTCTTGGCCCAAGAGGCCTTTAGCAGCTGCTGCCCAGCTGCCTCCAGCAAGTGGGGAGTGAGTCTAAGCGAGCTGGGCCAGGCCAGGGCTGAGTGTGGAGTGCAGAGTGCTGGACGGGGAGAGGGGGAGGATTCCTGGGGGAGAAGTCATTCTGGGAAAGCTGAAACAGCTCAGGCCTCAGAGCCCTGGGTGGCCCCAGCAGTGTGTTCACCGAGTGTTCTGGTTTTGTAAAGTGTGCCAAAGTAAGATATTTCTGTGTTCTTTTTCTTTCAAATACACCCCCCTCCCCTGCTGCCATGATATCATTGCCAGGGGGCAGAGGACAGGAAGCAGACGGGGACAGGAATAGTGCTGCCTAACATGGGGCAGGGGCTGAGGCTCACAGGGATAGTTTCCAGAAACCCTTAGGCTCAGGTGGTCTTCTTACCTGGCTCCTCCTGGCAGCCACCTCCTCCAGGAAGTCCGCCCTGGTGAGTCCAATTGATCACACAGGTCATCCATTTTCCATGCAACAATTCACACACGTGGTAGCGCATGTCACTGTTGGCAGTCCCCCAACCTAGTGTCACTGAGCCCACTGGTTCCCTGTGTTTTCCTGTCCCCACTCCTCCTCCATTCCTAACCCAAAGACTTAGTCTTTGGACAAATGCTGGCTTTTGAATCTCAAATGGTTGGTCATTCTAAAGTGTATGTACCTCCCTTGTGTTGTTGTTGACCTTACAGACCTGTCTGTTTTGGGGTGGGCAATGGAGCCATGGGGGTAAATTTCTGTACCAGGCCAGGAGGGTGACCAAGGACCAGTCTTGAAGGTTCCTCCAGACTCTACTCAACCAGCCAGCCTGACTTTTTTTTTAATGATTTTTGAGCTTTGTTCCATGTTGTTCTCTCATCTTTTCCAGCATCTTTTCATGTGATCCCTTTCAGAGCTGTCAGGGATGGTGGTCAGGCACCGTCTAGTTCTTCTGGTCTCAGGTCATGGAGACTGGTATCCGCATGGTCCATTAGTCCTTTGGAATAATTATTCCCGTGTGTCTTTGACTTTCTTCACTCAGCTTTCCTCTCCAGGAGGAGAGAGACCGCCAACAGTCTCGCCTGGGCTGGCATCTCATAAGCACTCAAGACGCTACTTGTTACTCACCAAGGCAGGAGGCAGACCCTTCTCCTTGTGCACTATGCTATGCCCGTTGACCGTGGTGTCTCCAAACTACGATCCCACCCGGAGCCCCCGGAGCTAGGGACTCATTCCTTATGGTCTTTGGTTATGACTAAGAAGTTTCCATAGTCTTGCCCCTGTGTTCTCTGCTATGTTCATGGATACATGGGCAGCCTAGGAAAATATACATCTAGGAACATCCTTTATCAAACTGTGAAAAAATGCCATGCTCTTCCCAGCCCCTGCCTCCTCCCCCATGCTCTTGTAATTCTATTTTTTCACAAATGTTCCCAAGCCCTCTCATAGGTATCTGCCCATAGATCGTTGTTGTTGCGGCCGCTGTTACTATGTATCTCTAATAGTATTTGCCGCCATGCCTTTAACTTGGGGTTTCTCTCAGTGTCTTCCTTTGCCTTCATTACCAACAAATAACTGTTGTGCACGGAATATTGTAGGGAGAATGAAGGTTCTCACTGTGTCATGCTGGAGACCCGACCCTAAATCAGACCAGCTCAGCCTAGGCCTGGTGGGCCCGCATGTGCCGGCAGACTCCAGGGTCCCAGGTGGGGCTATGGTTATATTCCTTCTTTCTACCGTGACACTGCCCAAGCACGTACATGCCCTGTCTTGTCAGAGCTAGGTAGCCAGCGTCCTCTGCAGACCTCAACCTCAATGTCGAAGGACCCCAAGGCTCATGCCAGGCGTAAGCTCCAGTTCCACAGGCTGACTAGCGGGTCCCGTTCCCCCGTGCGCTGGCCCAGTTCTGCCAGTGTCGGGGTGCTGCCAGCCATGCACGTTCTGGACCCCAGCCCCAGGGAGCAGTCAGGCTGCTTGTTCCCATTCCCAGAACAGCCCAAGCTGGGGGTGCTTGGTCAGGGGGTGGGGCTTTCAGCCTAAGCCTTAGGCCTGGCTATGCACTTGGTGTGGAGCAAGGCCAGGACTCCTGACACCGTGTGCCCACTCCTAACTCGGAGCAAGAGTGCCCATCTGTGCCCACGGACACTCAGGGGGACATGTCTCCTTGCACGAGATGCTAACAGTGACATCCCTGCAAGGACCAGGAGAGGAACCAGATTTGCCCACCATGTCTGTGTCAGAAGACCAGTCTGTGTCAGAAGAGCAGCCTCTCTCTGTCCATTCCCCAGAGGCCCCCTGATACCATGTCCTTGGGGCAGTCAGGGGCTGCTCCTTTCACAGTTGTTC